GTAGCTTTTCTTACATTTCTTTGGTGCTGAGTTGAAGTTCTTTACAACAATGCCGAAATATGACTTTCTAGTTTTTACCTCTTAGATGAAATGAAATGAACAGTTAGTCTTTTTTCCGTGCAGTTGCATACTGCCTTCAGCCATTTTAATTAATATATGCTTGACCACAACCATAAGTATATCTTCACAATCTTTCCTTAAATATGAACATTTTAGCCAGCGTCAGAAACACTCAGCCGACCAAACACTTCGATGGCTTCACCGTTTAATGTAAAGAGTGGTCTCAACAAAAGGCAATTAAAACTTAGTTGTGATTTTCAGAAGTTTTAGGCACAACTTTTCTTCGTTTGGTTTTTGTGATCTTAATTGTATAGAATATTGGCCCGTCTTAATTAAAAATTCAATTGTTAATTGCATAGAGGTCACACCAATATATAGAATAGGCATTCATCCAACAGACAACAAAACGCGTAATCCCGGAATAGCCTTTTTAGACTATATATTTTTGGTTGAAAGTTCCATTACTTTATATTATTATATTAATATATTACGTTAAAAGTTAAATTCTTCCGCTGCGGTACCATGACGTGGAGTACACTACTTTGAGGTATAAAGGCTAGTTTTTCAAAATCAGGAATTTCTAGAAGTTTTTATCCATTCGATTAACGCATTTGAATATAACTACTTGGTTTTTCCACTTTATGTAAACTGCTTAAAAAGAAACACCATTATATTGCTATAGGGGACAATTTATTTTGACAAAGATCATTTGCCTCTACAAGAAGGACGCGTTACGAAAATTGTCAAACTAACAACCCCTTTAAATGCCCCTTTAACACTTTAACTGATTTTTTAGAGAGAACTATGGGCGAATGTCTACTCTACTTAAGATAGGTTTATAAATATTTTTACAAAAAGAGGTTAAATCCATGTAACAAAACCACACAAGCTTGCAACTGACTACTAATATCTCCAGAATGACTCTCTATCGGTTCAATACAGAAGCAAACTTTATTTTATACATTAAAATTTAAGGTAAATAGTGTATAGATTAACTCCTCTGTCCTTCCTGTTATTTTACAGTGAGAAATGGCTACTTGAATTGCGTAATGGGGTACTGAGAATATTTCCTCAACCTTAGAACAAGAGTCATGATATTGGGTGTTTGTCAAAATAAATTTCAATATTTCACCACTGTTAATATAATAAATTTACTTAAATAAAATTACTTTTATTAACTTTAATTGAACGAAAAAGAATGGATAATACTGTTTATTCTTCACAAGTTGGGGCCTTACTTTATTTATGCAATATTAGACTATAAATTTAGCAAAACATCAATTTTAATCTGTGCTCTTTTTGGAGATGGATATGTAAAATGTTGCTTGCCTTCTGAAATGACGCTATGTACAGAGAATTCGAAAACTTTTTCAAGTGTCCGGCTCGGGGGACCTTTATATAATATACTAACACACTTTTGGACAGCAAAATACTCTAAAAACAATTGCTAAGTACTGCTTACAGACATACTCACAATAAAAAAGAAGGGAAACATAGACACCTTTATAACAGACCAATCCGTCAAAAGGAAATATGAAGTCTAAGTTAGCACTATGAGGATTTAAACTGAATATTATAATGAATGCAAATCTTTCAGTTCTGTTTAATTTAGATTCCAAAATCGAATTTTTAATATCCTGCATCAATTCTTAACATAAATGGCGTGGATAATCCTAGAGACCTTGCTGTTTTTTACTTTCTAAGAGAGAAGAGAAGAAAGAAATTTATTTTATTCGTTTTTTTATTAAATAATTCAAACCATTATTGAGAATTATTTTAAGATCTTGATTTTGACGAATAATTGAAACATTCTGAAACCTCTTCTAAACACTTTGTTGCCTTTCGTTTTTCCAGTAATCCTTTTATAATATTTTAGATACAAAAACATTAATAATTGTTAATCTAAGTATAAAATATTTTTATAAGTCAGTGTGCTCTATTTACTCGTAAACAGCACACATTTTGGTAACAAAAGTTGTCATATCCGATTATTGAAATGCCCGTCTTATTTTATTATTTGCTCTGTTTGCAATTCAGAAATATGGCCGCTGAAATACGTTTCCTTTATATTAAACATCATACAAAAATTTAGTGAATGGTATACGTGAGAATGTGAAAAGGCAAATATTTTACATAATATATTGTGACTTTTTTGGTACAATTTATCTAGAAAACACGCGTTCTCAACTGTAAAATGGCACCTATACAGCACAAAGTAACTAAAAAGTATAAACTAGACCTATTTGCAAAACGAAAAAATACAAAACATATCAATTTATATTTCCGTTTATATTCTCGAAGGTTACAGTTTACTGATAGAAATCATGACAAGAATTGATTAAGAGCAATTCACCTGTATCTTTCAGTTATTGTCCTTTTCATCATGAAACTTCAAGGCAATCTTAACAACACATGGTTGACAGATTATGACGATGTGAAAAATACGAGACTTAGTTTAAAGTTTTAGAGCAATTGTCTTAATAATGAACATCGCCCGTAGTGTCTGCAAACAAGCCTAAATCTATAGGTAGCAGATGTAATTCGTTTGTCGAATGCGGGCGTTATACTGAAGTACTCACGAGAGGGATAACTGAAAATAAGCACGTGAAAGTTCACAGGAGAATAGATGTAAAATGGTGAAAGTGCACATGTACAAAATTCTAGGTTTCAGCAAAACTGGAATCTCTTGAGTGAGTTGGAATTTATTCATTAAATAATACACTATGGTTTCTAAAGAAAAACTTATTCAGCTTAATCCTGTTGGAGGAAAACCATAAGTCGCCGTAAATTGGTGGCAGTTCCGTCTAGGAAATTGGCACATATTAAAATATAAAAGGGAAATTCAGATTTGAGAGGAACACAAGAATGACATTTACTCTATATACCCCAATGCATTTGGTTTTTTCCAACACAATCAAAATTTGACTTCGTATGGAAAAATCTGACACAAGCCCGTATGATCTGACAAAGAAAAAAGAATTTATAAAAATGGCGGCGAAGGTGCAAATTTAACATCTTCGTTTTATCTATTGGGTGTCAGGCAAATACACTGAAACACGGCTTCTAAACTGTTTATCAGTACATAACAGAAAAGCATTCTGGTCCATATTTTGGGAATAAATTCTAGTCTTATTATATATATACGAATTATTTGTTTTATGTTACATGCCCTATGATCTGTTTCAAATGTCGACGCAGCTCTGGAATCTGTAGCTTTGTGCTTCAGCAATATGCACACTATCTTCATTTGGGTCACATGGTTGAATAGTCATTGTTTGAACAATGTTTGTTGTTCTTAATTTTCATATTTGTGATATGAAACTATATGTATGTACAGCCAAGTTTCTCAGTGCAAAGGTGAGTTGGATATCATGGTAGACATTTTGAGAATGTTGCCGTCTTTAAAGCCTAAAATGTTTTCTATTTGAACGTTACCTGTATATGAAACCATATAAAGATCATTAAGTTTTTTTAGTTGTTTAGTAGAGGTTGATTTCATGAAGTAATCATTATTTTCTTGCCTATCTTATCTTTAAATTTTTCATAATTCACACATGTACTCTATACGTTAAACTCTAGCATCGCTCATACTAATAAACATACATGCCTACAATCGCTTTCTTTTTTGTCAAGGGTTGATTTTTCAACGTTTGATAAAGAAAATTGACAGTATGAAGTATTCATCAGCCTTTTGAGACTAAGATTTTACAACCTTTTTTAAATTTAATCCTTCTGTTACGATTTTCAAAGTACCTTAAGAGCTATGACAGAGACCCCTATCGCTATTTCTTGCAACTAAATTTAGCAGTTAGGCGGAGTGATATCAGCTTACATTTCAGGTTAAAACATTGATTTAAATCAAAATTGGCGACCCTGGTAAAACATGCTGGACTTAAAAAGAAATAAACTAACCGTTTAAATGCAAATGACAGCGTCATTTTACGAATAATAGACCGTTTAGTGCTCATGTTTATAATCGTGACAGCCAGTTTTCCAGACAGACGATCACGTGACGTCTGTATTTCGACAGTTACTTCTTGAGACGAAGCCAAATCCTAAGCCGTCTGCTAATGGAGCTCTTGAAAACATTAAATCTTTTTTCATCAGTATATTTAGTAAAATCCGTCAGACATATTGTTTATACAAAAGAGCAGTCTGCCAATGCAAAATATGGCTACCCAAATGCATTATTTCGAAACTTTATTATTTCAAATTATTTTTGATTTGTATTTTAAAGTCATGATGATGGTATTTATTTCTACAGTAGATCGACAACTTATTATCAGACTGCCTTATCATATTTCTGTCGTATTTTTTAAAGTAATATCAGTATAAGTGTGTTTTCTACTATAGATAATATTTGCATAGCGTTTTTGCTGACACTGTAGCAACAAAACATTATTATTATTATTGTGTCTGTAATTATCATAACAACATTGTTTTATCAGTAGTCTGCTTTTACGCGAGATGTCCTTGGACTGGATGAATATCAGTTTTAATACTTTAAAAGAGCTGCGTAAATAGTCACTGCAATAAATGGTTTTTAATATTTTAGGGCTTGTGTTTCGAGAACCATTCATTATGCAATACACAAACCCAGCTGGTAAATATGTCCTCCTTGATATATGCTATATTAACCACTTTGAGCGAGAGAGAGGGTGAGAGAGTGAAGGGAGAGAAGTATTCTAGTCTCGCATACAATAAACCAGACCTCTACCTTTTACATGTACGTGTACGCACACAGCAGGTCAAAAACAGCTTTTCTAAGGTAAAAAAAAATCAATACAACAACTGCAAATTCCGACTTGCTATCTCATTTGCCTTGCAATGCACTAAATTCCCTCGCTCAATAGCAACTGACGCACTCTTGTGCTAATGTTCACGGAGTATGATATATGTTTGGAGTGGACAGTAGACACTAGACAGAAAAGTATACTTACTGCAGTCTAGTCGGTCCTGTGTTATGCAACGCCATCTATTGACCATAATATTACGTTACTGCCTGATGACGTAATATTATATAATCATAAGTCGTCTGGCGAACCCGAAATACCATTCTATTTTCAGCGTGCTGTGATTCATGTGATTTTATAGGTCTTCTCTTCTATAAGCAGATGGAGTGGAACCACCTGCTGAGGTGAAAGCACAAAGTTGACAAGGAAAGGTTTTTTTTTTTTTTTTTTTTTTTTTTTTTTTTTTTTTTTGCAAAATAAAAAGTTTTGATTAGAGGTAGGTAGATATCTTATTTATTTTGAATTGTGAGCAGAAGTGCAAGAAATAAAGGAAACATTTTCCACTCTCACAATATCAGCAAGTCAGGCAACCAAAATCGAATTAGTCAGATAAACAGATATTGCTAGTGAATATGTTTGTCCAATAAGCTGCCACTGATCTGAACTCCTACTTAAATGACATTATGTTTGTTTAATCACATTTATGTATCATCCTGGTTTAAGTGATAGAGAAAAAAAGACAGAGAAAAATATTATCGTTATCAATCCCTCTTTTCGTGATCATATGACAACTTTGATGAACTTTATCATCATTACTGTGGTAATTAATCTTCTCCTTCGATAAACGATTCGAATGTTGCAACATTGAAAATAAATCAAAATATTTATATAAAAACGCTTCAGGGCAATTTCAATTGATTTCAGTCAAAATTAAAATAAAAAAATTAAGCAAACAAATACGCATGAATAATCTCAAGTGCTTTTAACTCAGCCTTGCAATCACCTATAATTGACTTCCAGGACTTAAAAACCATAAAATAGTCAAATCGTTCAATACATTAATTACAGTCAATTATGGCTCAGTACAAGCATATGGTATTTTTTTCGAAAGAAGCGTTTCTAACCGCAATCTGCATGCCCGTAGGCACGGTCTAACCGCACGCCGTACGCTACTGGTGTGAATTTCAAGCTCCGTCAGTGTTTAATCGGTCTACTCATTACGCGGTAACGATTGCGGTTGCACGTGTTACTAAACCCCGAGATTTGTCCTCGCCCAGCCACAGGAATGGGAGATAAAAAAGAAGAAAAATGTCAGTAAAACTGAAAATAAAGACATTAAAATTAACAGTGAAGTTTATTTGCATAAAAATAAATTTAAAAAATAAAATAAAATAAAAAAGTAAAAAAATAAAAAATAATAAATAAATAAATAAATAACTAACTAAATAAAAGATGATTATTAAATAAGATGAAATAAATAAAAATATATAAATTATTTTTTATAAATATAAATTATTTAGTAAATAAACAATAATTTACATAAGGCGGGGTTGCACTAACTAATATACATTGTTACATTACGCTTGCAATACATTGAATAAGTTAATAAAAGAGTAAAATAAAAAGATAAATTCATAAAATAAATATATAAATATATAAATGTAATAACTGAAAAATAATTGGGTAAAGTGGGGCTGTACTAAGCAAGAGACACTCCTGCCTTGCAGTTCCAATGCATTTAATAAGTTGTTTAAGTGGATGTTTGACTTGACTGATGCAGTGCTATGTAAAGTGAATCAATTGGTTTAATAGAAAAGCATAAAATGGTAGCTTAATTCTGTGATGCCTCTTCCCTTTCTACACACAAACACACACACTAGCACGCACACACACACAGACACGCACACACAAACACAAACACACGCACTCTTTTTCTCTCTCTCTCAAATTCATGCTGACTGAACCCAGGAAATTATCTAACTTTTAGAAAATGTGAATCAATAAACTGGAATTTAGTTATATAGAAGAATTTTACTTGCCGCTTACTGCTTGTTTCGTTGATTATCTCTTGGACACGTTATAAATATTTTCAGAATATTAGAAACATTAAACGACTAAAATTATCAAACACACGCATAAATATGACCTTAAACAATATTTTGTTCCAAAAAAATTAATAAACGAAAAATGAAATTATAAAGTTTTAGATCTGGAATTATGTTATTTCAGCGCCATCTATTGGTAAATATCAAAAGACACTCCCGCCGCAGGAGTGGTAACAAAATTGCATCGATATGACATCAGCGGCAATAAAGCTGGGTGATTTGTATCCGCATTTAACCGCAACATTGGTATTTTACAAACTGGGGGTGAGAAAACTTAATTTACATGGAGTGCAAGTGGTTTTTATTTCTCAATTTAACTAGCAATGACATTTTTTCTGATTCAGTTGATTTTATAATGGAATTTTAAGTATTTTTTCTTACTCGGGGTTTACATCCTAAGACATACTAAATGCATCATTTTGAAAAAAATCGCGTTTTATAACAGTTCCTATTTTTTCTTTGTTACTTTCAATCCTCTTTCTTACTTTCTTTTTTTTCTTTCTTCTTTTTTTTTTTTTTTTTTTTGTCTATATATGTTTTCATTTATTTATCTGTTTTTATTATAATCAGTTTTAATTTTCTGTATATTTAGGTGCAAAATACTCCATATGTTTAACAGTATAAAACACATTCTAACTATAAACACAAATATCATTTATTTCATTTAATGTGCGCCAAACATGCAGTCGGTGCACAACAGCACATTTTGGTAAATATTATAAACAAATATTTGTTGAACACATGCGAACTCCATGGTTAAAGAGCCTTCCTTTATTGCCGTGGTTTTGCTCCACCACTCCCAATCACTGGGCAATCTCATCAGAAAAATCGGTAGTCTTAAGTATTGTGGTTAGCTGTGGCTGGAACCACCAAGAGAGCGCAGACCACAAAATCAATTTAAAACAACAGGTGCGTTCTCTCCGCTTTTTTTAACCGCACATACCATAATGATAGACAGATTGCTCGTCACAAAAGGAATGACATGACTGGTTTTTGAAAAAGATAGCGGATTGTTATTATTTCGAGATAAATATCCACGAATCAGAAATAAGACCATTAGAGGCTAAGCTATGAGATAGTTCAATTTGATTTTAATGCTGCGCGTGCGTTGGTTCCCTGTCATAACAAAATCTGGAAAAGGTTTCTTTCTTTCTTTTTTTTTTTGTTTGTTTTTTGGACCGGTCCCTCCCATTTTTTGCATTAAAGCTCATTCTGAATATAATTTGGATCTTATCGAACATAATTATTTTGAACCGGAGCTATGTGCAGCTACTCATGGCAGGGTATATTTGGGTGTGACAGGAAGATTCGCTATCGTCTGTGTCTCAACTAACGCAATCAAGGGTTTTCCAATTCCCTTATCACACCAAGCGGTATACCTAGTCAATGCAGATTGTTTCCTGCTGGCACTGGGATTTTAATGCAAATATATACTACACTTCAGTGTAGGTTTTAGTTTGAATGTCTTTTTTTAACTCATCTAAATAAATGAAATTTTGTATAAATTCCCAAAACAATACTGTACAAACTAAAAAAATGAAAAAGAAGATAATAAGATTTCCTTAATGAATCTGGTAAGTTGATGTCCTTTTGAATTATTGAGCAATGTAAAAAAAGCAGCTTTGCACGAACGCAATGTGACTTAGCAGAATAATACTTAGTGTGTTATTGACGATTACAGATTACCAAGAGGCGTATTTTTCTTTCGTTTTAACTGTTTTGTTTTTGTAACTTATGTTCATATCCACATATCAAAAAAAAAAGGTAGTTGTGACCCACTCGTTCCCTTTTTTGTACTTTCTATTAAAGCTTTCCACCAATAAAACGGTGACTTTTATTACGAAAAAGACTGGTGGGCAGCTAATGAGTTCCCTCTGTCAAATACCCCGTCTCACCACTGTCTACTCTGCTCCCTCTGCCTAGATGTTCCAGATATCTTCTTCTATTGCCGTCCATATTTCTATCTCTGCAACACGTCAACGAAGCAAAGAAAGCTACTGAAACCATACAAAATATACTCACAGGATATTAATATCCGACAAGTGACGATCCCCCATCAACTAACTCTGCAATTACACTCCCTACATGGCCTGCACACTCCTGTGCGTCCGAAGGAATTTATTTATTTTCTCTGAAAGCAGATCACTGGAGCGAAGAGTACGACCTTCAAGACCGTAAGAAAATCGCTGAGAATGACCGACATATGCAGCACGCTCTGAGGGTGGGAGTTAACCAGAGAATGCGGAAACTGCGAGTTAGTATTTGATCAGTTCATTAGGAAGAAAAATAAGATAATGAATCACTACACTGCCACAAGCCAAAACTATGAAGAACTAACACGTCGAATTTACAGGGGCGGACTTATTACGTCACATATTTAAGACAGCCCGAGGAGAGAGGGGTAAAAAATAGTATGACGTCACAACACCCGCGTGCGACGTAGCAGTTCTTTCTTCTACATGTATAACGGGTGGTGCGTACAGGTACCTGGGGATAATATCATTTATCCGAAGGTTTTATTTGTTTAAGTTGGAACTGAATTCAGTCATGAGTCTTACATTCCTTTTTTTTCTTTTTGGACAACACGGAGAAACTGGGAAACTTGCTTAAGATTTTTTTTTTTTTTTTTTGCGAAAATGGAGTCTCTTTTAGAAAAAGCCATTTTGATCTAGGCGTTGTAGAAAGTTATTCGCTCAACGAGCAGCGTATTGTATAACCAGATAGACACGATGGAAATTAAAGTATTGGCAATCGGCCTCCTGGGGGATAGTTGATTAGATCAACAATGATTATTCAACACATACTTTGCGTGTTCTTGATTTCCTCGGAGCCCCGCGCGGATGCTGATGTTTTGTTCAGAGGTGAAATAAGTTATTGTCACACGAAATCTATGTAACGAGGACCTGCAGATATGAACCTACAGATGACTCGTCCTTGTAGGGTTGCTTAGCTTTTTTTAAGCTTGCTAGAAAATTAGTTTGCTAAAAGAATCACCTGAAAAGAGAGATAACTTAGTAGAAATATCTTAATTTTTCGTAAAAGTGCTTACTGAATTCAAAATTGCAGTGATGAAATGAGAAACGAGTAAGAGACAAAACGTTGCATATCTGCAGAAGTGCAGTGTTGTTCCTTTGGTTTTTGCACTCTATCGTTTACTGCTACGCTGTTGACAAAACAAAACCTATGATATAAACAGTGCACAATTATTATTGAACAGATTTTTTCTTAAAAATTCAGTAAAATACCAAGTTAGATTAGGTAGAAGACCATACTCTAATTTCTCCTCGTATGTCTGAACGACGTTGCGGCACTGAAACATACCAGAGCATCGATTCACGTTCCTACGGTGGGGTAATCTATCGCAATCGTATTACGGAAATCAGTGTCGACCGCGTTAATTAAAGTCCGTTCACAGCTCCACGGCCGTCAATATAACCTATTGGAAAGAAGACTAATCCCTTAGATGAACAAGATTAACAGAAACTGTATAATCGATAGTTCGAATAATCAAAGAGTGCGCTGATTTTGATCAGACATTCTGTACGTAAGACCCCATTCCCATAGACACCATCCTTATACATATCATCGACCCAACTTTGCGTGGAGTCTCGCTGGAGTGCAAACAGCATAACTGAATGCGGGCCTTTTCTTGTTTCCAACTCACTCGTATAATTATCAGTTTTTCTATATACTTATATACGTCAGAAGGAGGCGTGTTAATCTGTTAAACTGATTGCATTCAGCAAGAGTCCCCACGGAGTTGGGTCAATCTATGTAGACCGATGGTGTCTATTGGAATGAGGCCTAAACGATGTAGTTCCCGCTAGGTCTCTCTGCTCCATGTTGTAATAGGATTTACGTACACATCACAAGAGAGAATTTCGCCTGTAGGTACAAAGTTAGTTTTACATAACATGATTCTCATGTTTCGGAATGTAAATGAACGGCCGCAATCATAGTTTTAATTAGACTTCGTAATGCCCCATTGTGATTTCACGCGCCTTATTGCTTTATATAATACCCAATGTAGCTCATTCCTTGTACATGAGTATTAATGCTATAAATGCACTTAATTTTGGGGAAATTTCAAAAGTTTAAGCACTGTATATCAAGAATATCAAGATATATAGATACTCCTGTCAAAAAAAATAACCGTTTTCAAACCACATTTATTCCATAACGTTTCTGAACACAAGTACATATTTAAGGGGTGCTTTGACAAGTATTTACATGTACAAAACCACTGTTACATGTACCAGGTACAAATGGATAAAGTCTCGCGTAGCTCTTCAATGTTTCAAAAGAGATTGATTGTAACTTGCCATCCAGTGCGTGCTTATACACTCTTCTCGTCAACAAAATGCATACATTGGCCAGGGAAGTAAGAAATGTGGTTTCAGGAAAAGCCGTCAAAACGTATAAACACAATAGTCAGAAAGTCACGATACCTATTGCCAACATTTTAACGCTCGGTGCTATAGGACAACCGGACCTATTTAGCGCAGATGAAACCTTTTCAGTCAGCAACAAGCACATGGGAAATAAAGACACCCAGAAACAATCGCCAGCATCCATATCACTTTTAGAAATGGAAAAACTCAGACAGTGTTATTCCGAATCGACGCAGCCATAGAATAAAATCTATAACCCGTTTAATTTGTTTGTCAGCGCTAAAGACTTCCGATATTACAGCAAATGAATTCATCATGTCTGGTGGCATTTAACCACGTTCAGACAATAGACTCCTAGGGGTCTGTTGCAATGACACTGTTAATCGAATAAATATTAACTTCCCTCACAAGGGCCATTACGGGTTGGTCAAGCAAGCTAAACATACTTAACGTTATGTCACCTTCTTTATAAAAGATGGGTAGAATTGTAGAAATATCTTGATGTTAAAATATTAACTGCTAAAACAGATGACAGTGAGTAACCATATTAGAATTTTTCCCTGATAAAATAAAAAAAACACAGGATAAGAAAAGTGATACATACAATAACACTGACGTATTGATGTTTGTCTGAATAACTTGATGCATGATTTAAAACCCCTACCCCCGTAAAAATAAAAAAAAATTAAGTAATTTTAAAGTAAAATCATAGAAGAAAATAGATAAAAAAAAGTCGATTGCAAAGGTCAAAATGACAACATTTCTTAATCTGATTGCATTCAGCGACAGTCCCTGCGAGTTGGATCGGTCTACGTAGACCGATAGTTTCATTGGGAATAAACCCTTAAATGTCGAGATTCGACATCTGTTCAACGCTTCAAGCTTGTTCGATCCATTTCATCGCCGCACGGAGAGCAGCTTAACTGGCAGGTGAAGCAAGTTACAAGTGACAGGGAGATGTTTGCCTTACCTGTATCAATTTATACTGGAAGTTGCAAGAGCGGATGAAGGAGGCCCGTCAGTTGTTAATAAAAAGGGACCTTGAATGTTATAACGCCGTGGTCAGAATTTCACTGAATTCTACTGAGCGAAGAGAACGCCTGTTTGTCATTACACCGAAAATGTTAACTGGTTAGTAACGCTGGAAACACAAGCTTATCTGTGTCGAGGAAAGTTCTTACCACCATCCGAAATCAAGTTAAACCCATGAAAAAAAGCAGCCACATAGTAAATTGGATTGATGAATCCAAATTTCAATACTCTTTTTTTCAATAAGTCGACTTAACAAAAAAGGTCATTAAATATTTTATTTATCTAAATCGACTGAAAATACTTAAGTCGTGGTTAAACAAGCAGGACTTCATTATAAGTCCTCCTGCTGTTTTGCTACACATTGCGTCGAGTAGCTTATAGATCTAGGCGGTATATTTAACGACTGGTAATTTGCACAGAAAACAGCCCTTGGCTAGCGAGCTCTTTCTCCGTGCTTGGATATGTGCATACATACACACCTACGGCAGCAGCGTAAACATACAGGGTACCCCAAAGAGACCGGGATAACACGGTGGTAGGCCCTGCAACACACCTGGCCAGCGTCCAGCCTCCGGGGTGACCAGTGAGGGGCAGCTCAGTAAGGGAGGCGGACTTGAGCGTTCATATTCATTGAATGTATTTCTACCACTGGGCAATAGGAGTTTAGGACTGTATGAATTTATTTCCAGCACGTAGTGAAGCTTTACTTTGAGGTTAGAAAACATTTTGAAAAAAAAAAAGAAAACAACAGATGAATGAGGTGGTAAACTAAGCAGGACATAAATAACTAACTGCAGTTTATTTTATTTGCTCATTGCCTGGAGAATTCATATGTGCATCTAGATCTCGAATGGACAGAATCAAAAGTGATGTGCAGGCGTTTTTTCTCACTATAATCGTCGTGAAAAGGTGGTATAAAATGCAGAACTGGACCAAGAGACCCGTGGGTCAGCAGCGTTGTAAAAATTAACCGTTGGTCGTGTTCCAGGGACGCAGCGGGTCAGTTAAGTGCCAGCTCAGGTGAAGCTGTGAAGGTGTTATTCCAGAGGAGCGTTCAGGTGCTCAAGTGCTCTCTAGACTCCAGCTCTCCCGCAGGTCCAATTTACGACCACCGCGCGAGCTGCCTGCACTAAGAATAGCACTCTCCAACAGTTCGTTGTATAAAATCATTTGCATCTATTCAATCGCATGTTTTAAAGATCGATATTATTAGTTGCGACGGAGAGACCGTATCGGAGTTTGAACAGTTACGTGATTAAACCCCTCCAATCATATAAACTAGCCGATACATGTAGCACTTTGCTAAACCTCCTTAAAGTCCACCTGAAAAACCTCGTCGCGCATAAGAAATTTTAACTGGACATCAGAGCAACCATTCGGCATTATTCTATTTCTCCAATGAAAGGACAAACACGTGAAAATATGCAACAATGAAGCGGAAATAAGAGCACAGCAAAGCTATTAGACTAAGATCAATCAAGAAGAGGCGCGAACGTGACGAGCAGAATTCACGCTGCACCACCACGGACCTGTAGTCATAGCTTGGTGAAAAGCGGGGACGGCTCTTATAATGCCAGGCTCATTCTCGCCAAGGCGTGAACAGTGCTTATTAAATAGTTTGGAAACGGATTAAAACAGGATAGGCTTTTAACGGGGAAGCTACAATCAACCTTCCTATCGTTAAGGCACGCAATTCGACTGGTGGATGAACGATTGAAGCCGACTTGTGATTCAACGGGGGAGATTTTACAGCACAAGGCAAACGTGCAATGAAACCGGGGTTTGCCTGCTTGCAGACAAATTATTACCTAGAAAACGTTGCAATGCATTACAATTCAAAAAGAAAGCGGACGTGGTTAATCATGGAAAATCGAGATGATTACATTCACAGGAAGGGATAGATTTGAAATCACGCGCATTAAAAATGGAGGCACACCTCGAGGCTAACGCAGGGCAGGTGCGTTGACCGTTCGAACGCTTTTTTTTTTTTTTGAGGATATTTTTTCATATACTCGTTTTGAAATGATGGGACTGGATATGTACAGCAGTGTGAGTATGGTGGCCAACTACATGTCCGTTATGGTTTGGGCTATGTTCATGGTAGTTCTCACATCCGGGCGAGATGTCGGTCTCAAGGTTGTCGTCCGCGCACACAGTGATAATGGGAAGATAGTTCGTGACTGTAAGTACAAACATTTTTTTCTAATTTTTAGGGGAATGATTTAAAAAGTACATGGGGTGGTTTAGCATAAGATGGTGTTAAATGCATATACTGGTCATCTAAGAAAAGGATGTATGCACTGTTTCTGACCAGTGCATGTATGAGTCTTCTTGATAATTTCAATTTTGAGAAAGACTTGCCTACCAGTTAGATTAAAAATGGACAATTTAAGTTTGGAATACAAATCTTCCTTTACCAAGTTACCCTACACAAGGTANCGCTCGGTGCTATAGGACAACCGGACCTATTTAGCGCAGATGAAACCTTTTCAGTCAGCAACAAGCACATGGGAAATAAAGACACCCAGAAACAATCGCCAGCATCCATATCACTTTTAGAAATGGAAAAACTCAGACAGTGTTATTCCGAATCGACGCAGCCATAGAATAAAATCTATAACCCGTTTAATTTGTTTGTCAGCGCTAAAGACTTCCGATATTACAGCAAATAAATTCAGCATGTCTGGTGGCATTTAACCACGTTCAGACAATAGACTCCTAGGGGTCTGTTGCAATGACACTGTTAATCGAATAAATATTAACTTCCCTCACACGTGCCATTACGGGTTGGTCAAGCAAGCTAAACATACTAACATTATGTCACTTTCTTTATAAAAGATGGGTAGAATTGTAGAAATATCTTGATGTTAAAATATTAACTGCTAAAACAGTTGACAGTGAGTAACCATATTAGAATTTTTCCCTGATAAAATTTAAAAAAAAAAAAAACAGGATAAGAAAAGTGATACATACAATAACACTGACGTATTGATGTTTGTCTGAATAACTTGATGCATGATTTAAAACCCCTATCCCCGTAAAAATAAAACATAAGCAATTTTAAAGTAAAATCATAGAAGAAAATAGAGAAAAAAGTAGATTGCAATGGTCAAAATGACAAATTTTCTTAATCTAATTGCATTCAGCGAGAGTCCCCGCGAGTTGGGTCGGTCTACGTAGACCGATAGTTTCATTGGAAATAAGCCCTTAAATGTCGAGATTCGACATCTGTTCAACACTTCAAGCTTGTTCGATCCATTTCATCGCCGCACGGAGAGCAACTTACCTGGCAGGTGAAGCAAGTTTCAAGTGACGGGGAGATGTTTGCCTTACCTGTATCAATTTATACTGAAAGTTGCAAGAGCGGATGAAGGAGGCCCGTCAGTTGTTAATAAAAAGGGACCTCGAATGTTGTAACGCCGTGGTCAGAATTTCATTGAATTCTACTGAGCGAAGAAAACGCTTTTTTGTCATTACACCGAAAATGTTTATTGGTTAGTTACGCTGTAAATATCATCCGAAATCAAGTAAAACCTTTGAAAAAAAAGCAGCCACATAGTAAATTGGATTGATGAATCCTCATTACAATACTCCAATCGAAGGCTCCTCTTTTTTCAATAAGTCGACTTAACAAAAAAAGGTCATTAAATATTTTATTTATCTAAATCGACTGAAAATACTTAAGTCATGGTTAAACAAGCAGAACTTCATTATAAGTCCTCCTGCTGTTTTGCTACACATTGCGTCGAGTAGCTTATAGATCTAGGCGGTATATTTAACGACTGGTAATTTGCACAGAAAACAGCCCTTGGCTAGCGAGCTCTTTCTCCGTGCTTGGATATGTGCATACATACACACCTACGGCAGCAGCGTAAACATACAGGGTACCCCAAAGAGACCGGGATAACACTGCGGCAGCCCCTGCAACACACCTGGCCAGCGTCCAGCCTCCGGGGTGACCAGTGAGCGGCAGCTGAGCAAGGGAGGCGGACTTGAGCGTTCATATTCATTGAATGTATTTCTACCACCGGGCAATAGGAGTTCAGAACTGTATGAATTCATTTCCAGTACGTAGTGAAGCTTTACTTTGAGGTTAGAAAACATTTTGAAAAAAAAAAAGAAAACAACAGATGAATGAGGTGGTAAACTAAGCAGGACATGAATAACTAACTGCAGTTTATTTTATTTGCTCATTGCCTGGAGAATTCATATGTGCATCTAGATCTCGAATGGACAGAATCAAAAGTAATGTGCAGGCGTTTTTTCTCACTATAATCGTCGTGAAAAGATGGTATAAAATGCAGAACTGGACCAGGAGACCCATGGGTCAGCAGCGTTGTAAAAATTAACCGTTGGTCGTGTTCCAGGGACGCAGCGGGTCAGTTAAGTGCCAGCTCAGGTGAAGCTGTGAAAGTGTTATTCCAGAGGAGCGTTCAGGTGCTCAAGTGCTCTCTAGACTCCAGCTCTCCCGCAGGTCCAATTTACGACCACCGCGCGAGCTGCCTGCACTAAGAATAGCACTCTCCAACAGTTCGTTGTATAAAATCATTTGCATCTATTCAATCGCATGTTTTAAAAATCGATATTATTAGTTGCGACGGAGAGACCGTATCGGAGTTTGAACAGTTACGTGATTAAACCCCTCCAATCATATAAACTAGCCGATACATGTAGCACTTTGCTAAACCTCCTTAAAGTCCACCTGAAAAACCTCGTCGCGCATAAGAAATTTTAACTGGACATCAGAGCAACCATTCGGCATTATTCTATTTCTCCAATGAAAGGACAAACACGTGAAAATATGCAACAATGAAGCGGAAATAAGAGCACAGCAAAGCTATTAGACTAAGATCAATCAAGAAGAGGCGCGAACGTGACGAGCAGAATTCACGCTGCACCACCACGGACCTGTAGTCATAGCTTGGTGAAAAGCGGGGACGGGTCTTATAATGCCAGGCTCATTCTCGCCAAGGCGTGAACAGTGCTTATTAAATAGTTTGGAAACGGATTAAAACAGGATAGGCTTTTAACGGGGAAGCTACAATCAACCTTCCTATCGTTAAGGCACGCAATTCGACTGGTGGATGAACGATTGAAGCCGACTTGTGATTCAACGGGGGAGATTTTACAGCACAAGGCAAACGTGCAATGAAACCGGGGTTTGCCTGCTTGCAAACAAATTATTACCTAGAAAACGTTGCAATGCATTACAATTCAAAAAGAAAGCGGACGCGGTTAATCATGGAAAATCAAGATGATTACATTCACAGGAAGGGATAGATTTGAAATCACGCGCATTAAAAATGGAGGCACACCTCGAGGCTAACGCAGGGCAGGTGCGTTGACCGTTCGAACGCTTTTTTTTTTTTTGAGGATATTTTTTTCATATACTCGTTTTGAAATGATGGGACTGGATATGTACAGCAGTGTGAGTATGGTGGTCAACTACATGTCCGTTATGGTTTGGGCTATGTTCATGGTAGTTCTCACATCCGGGCGAGATGTCGGTCTCAAGGTTGTCGTCCGCGCACACAGTGATAATGGGAAGATAGTTCGTGACTGTAAGTACAAACATTTTTTTCTAATTTTTAGGGGAATGATTTAAAAAGTACATGGGGTGGTTTAGAATAAGATGGTGTTAAATGCATATACTGGTCATCTAAGAAAAGGATGTATGCACTGTTTCTGACCAGTGCATGTATGAGTCTTCTTGACAATTTCAATTTTGAGAAAGGCTTGCCTACCAGTTAGATTAAAAATGGACAATTTAAGTTTGGAATACAAATCTTCCTTTACCAAGTTACCCTACACAAGGCATTAGTTTGGGGCAAATGAATAAAATCTTACTGTGGTATTCTAATATCTGCTATTGGTGCGTGCATTTCACTTGAAGTATGAAATATGTTAATCGTTTCAAAATATTACTCTAAAGTGGTACATGTATCGTAATAAATTCTATTCATGAAGAATAACGGCCTTAAGATACGCGCTCTATTTTACTATCAATCTAAGTAAATTGTTCCATGGAGATGCACGCATTGACTACACGTTAACTTACTGAGGCAACTCCAGATAACATTGCACCGCTGTTATCATAGCGTCCTTGCCACATTGATGCCCTAGAGGGATGGGCTTAATTGCTTCAACAGAGTTTCCGGGAATCGATCTGATCGAGGAAAGACCATGTAAAAAGAGGGGATATTATCGTAATGATTTATGTGACTGGTGGTTATTTCCGCATTTATTTGTGCCTCCTGGGGTCTTCAGTATTTGCCTTCTTCTCTGCATTGTATTGCCTTGTTTTCATTGTAATGGAAAATATACAGGTTCTTTATTATTACTCGCCATGTGCTTCTTTCTGATGTACATTAAAACATTCCAACTGCGCGCCTGAATTTAATATAGATACTCAGATATCAGTCAATCTGGATTCCCGGTACAACAACATTGATCACAAAGACTTATTTAGTCCTCAGAGAAATAAAATTAACTCTATGTTAATCACATTTTCTGCATCTTCTGGAATTGTATTTTTGTTTTGGGAGCTAATTTGTTTGTTTGTCAGTCTCTTAGCCTTTTACTCTTATTCTGCTCGTCTTTGAATTCTTTATTCTGTGTTCCCCCCCCCCCAAAAAAAAAGATAAATAAATAAATAAATAAATAAATAAATAAATAAATAAAAGTCTTCCAATAATATTGTCAAAGCAGAATGAAATGATATTTAACCTGTTAAAATCATACCCCATTTTAATAGCATAATACAATTTAAGTATCTCTTCAACGTATTTCTCATGTAAAACGTATTTCCCATCTTTTCGGTCTAGTTTAGGTATAACATATTATTAATGCTCTCGGCTGAGTTGGCAAGCGGTATGCAGAGGCGGCGTGATTACATAAATCTTTAAATAGCACAGATTCATTAAAATAATACACAGCGTAAGCAGCCGAAAATTAAAAGTTGCACAGCTGTGTACACTGCATCAGTGTTGAATTGTGTCCAACACACCAAGCGTGGACTAGCGAGGCCTTGTATCCGTATATGTTATGTCCAAAGCGCCCTGGCTGTGAACGGGATGTTAGACTTTATTGAGTTTCTACTATTACTACAAAACACAGAGTAGCGGCGTGTTGATGGTACATGCAACGAACGGGTCACAATTTCCGAAGTTATTCTATGTTTTTATAGAAAACACGTACATTCGTTCGGCATGCAGGCGAACAGAAAAATCGACCCAGATATTTAATTGACAGAAAGAAAAAAAGTAATTGGCTTACCCCTTAAGATCCGAGGAGCATTTTAATCGGTTGATATGAATTAAAGTTCGATCAGATATTGTCACCCTCGGGGCCGTATTGACTTTGGTCTACCCTTTACAGTGAGTACAAAACTAAAAAAATAATTACATTACTCTGGTGTTTCCATCGATCAAACTAGTGTAACATATGCTATCAGTGCCTTATGCATAGGCTGATTTATTTTTTGAGCCGGGGCGAGTGTCATATACATATGTAATGTAATTTGGTCCATCTTTAAAGAGTTTTTTATGTTTGTGGTTAAGCACGAGAATCTTCTTGTTGAAAGGAAAATTTGAATATTTCTTGTTCTCAGTGTTTTCGTAAGATGGTGTGTGTGTGTGTGTGTGTGTGTGTGTGCGTGTGTGTGTGAGAGAGAGAGAGAGAGAGAGAGAACGGGGGACAGAATCCGTACGGTACATTTAGTGCTATAGGAAACATCAGCCTGTGCGTGAGGCTCACGAATTTGTTCATGAACACCACTGATTACATGAGCTACCTATTTGATTTGGCCACACAACATCCTCAGTACACGTCTATCGAGTAAACATGACAGTGGATGGACTGTAGGGAATCCACAAGTGCACAAGGTCGACCAGGATCGGCAAATTAATTTGGTTTGCCTAGAAATTCATCTCCCTCAAGTAATCAAACAAATCTCAATGGGCGTTTTGATAAGTCATCCTGACCCTACCACATCGTCTGTATTTCAGTCAGGGAGGCCGTCTCGGCAGAAATTACATTTTATCATAGTAATGCTAGCATATTCCACGAAAAAATGCATCCATTGGCATATATACATATAGGCTAATGTACCAGCAAGGCAGTAGGGACCCTCACTACAATAAAACCCAAGCCCAACAAAATAATGGACAGGTCACCATGCTTGACCTAATCAAATACACACCGAAAATAAATAAACAGTTTAGCGTAACAGCAGCGGTAATGGAATTGGCTTGAGCTTAATTTGGCGAGGTGTTACGCAACCCCTCCGTTACTCCGCTATTGACCGACGGAGTTGTTGGGTCAGGTGGGGAATGGACACCAAGTGGACGGAGTTGTTGGGTCAGGTGGGGATGGACACCCTGTGGACGGAGTTGTTGGGTCAGGTGGGAAATGGGCACCCTGTGGACGGAGTTGTTGGGTCAGATGGGAAATGGATCCCCTGTGGACGGAGTTGTTGGGTCAGGTGGGAAATGGACACCCTGTGGACGGAGTTGTTGGGTCAGGTGGGAAATGGACACCCTGTGGACAGAGTTGTTGGGTCAGGTGGGAAATGGACACCCTGTGGACGGAATTGTTGGGTCAGGTGGGAAATGGACACCCTGTGGATGGAGTTGTTGGATCAGCTGGGATTGGCTGGGGATAGGTGTATATATATATTTTTTTCCATGCATTCTTTTTTTTTTTGTAAATAAAAACTGGAAAATGGTCACAATCTGTTTAAACATTCTTTCGCAGCGTAATTAGAAGGAAATTAAATACAGCCGCCGCGTCCGACATATGTCAAAGAGCCTGTCCTACTTTTAAAAAAATCCTCTTTCTGAGATTTATTGATTTCCCATCAAGAATACAGAAAACAACGATAACATCGATTTTTAAAAGATGCAAAGTGACAAGTATACGAAGCACTCTGAAACAAAACACGCTACTTCAGTAAAAAGGAGTATATTATCGAAAGAACAGTCATCACTAAATCCGTGCAGCGTTAGCTAATCAATACGTGTTAGCGGGTACTTCAAAGAGATTGAACTTTTCGACGTACTTGTGCTGATCCCACGAGTACTAAACTTAATGCAGTCCACCTAAATTTTCAAGCAAACGCCATTTAAATGTAATCAGGCGGAGCGTATTTGAACGCTTAATGACCAGCGTACGGATCATAGTAATGCCATGTAGTCTGGCAGAGAAAGAGGGAGTTGAACACTGTCGCCCTTGCATGAAACTGCTTTCGGGATCCATGAAATGTTTCCCGAATGAGTTCTGTGAATCTCCTGTGGTTGTCTGTGGAGTGGGGGTGTTTAAACACCCAGTAGTAGAATGTTTCTCGACTGGGTACTGAGGGAAATTCTCACTCTTTTAGACTTCTGACGTGGGTCTTGTTATTAAGGAAATCACGTGGGTGTGGGTGGCTGTTGGGTGGAGGAGTGGGGGGGGGGGGGGGTTAAAGTGTTTGACTCCCCCCCCCCCCCCGGAGTTGGCCATATGCCCGGGAAATCTCC